CTCCACATGAAACTAGAAAAGAAAGCAATAAAACGGTGTAGGATGCTGGAAAAATTGAGAACAGCTTGGAGATCAGGTTCAATTTCCGTCGCTTCCGGTCTACGTTCCTTCGAGGCGCAAAAATCATTTATCGAGCATGCGCACAACCCCAGGGGAGTACTTTACCCATGTTTGGGTACAGGGGCTACCTAGTGTTAGAAAAACCCAACCTTGTTTAGGTCAAAGAAAACCTAAAGTGCCTACCCCGAGGTGGTCAACAACTCCTTTCCCATCACTTTTTTGGGATACAGGATTGGATGTAATCAGAGGATACCTATTACAACTACTGTCTTGTCCTGAAAATTATCTGAGTTTGACTGATGACCATTAAAAGATCTCGCAAACGTCTCCGATCATGGGTTACTGAACTCTACCTTATACTTTGTTTATAATAGGTTCAGACCCTGCTTACGACAGACGAATAAAATTATACACCCTGTTCAAGCAGCAAGACCAAAACCCAGGAGCTCCTGCAAAACCTAATCCCTGTTGGGTGGCATGCCCTCGGATACGCCACCCGATAAATCCCCCGGATAAACCACGGAAATGTTGGTCCCCCGGATAAACCACGGAAATGTTGGTCTATTCTTAACCTTGAGAACGAGGTTGGGTCTATCATTGCTTCCATGAATTGACAGTCGTGTATCGTGTATCCCACTCACGCCCATCAGGGACGGGCAACGAGGTACGGGAAGGTGGAGGGAGAAACGGGTATTCATATGTAAAAGTGACAGGGATGATCGTTAAGTCACGTTTTTACCTCTCAGGGGTTTAATGCCACAATCACTTACTGGAAAAACATCGCAAACTTCAAGCGCGCACGCGCACGTGGATAGATAGTTGGAAGTAAAAGAAAAGGTCGAAAAGGTATATTTTATGTGAAAGCATGTTCTTTGACAAACATAATCCATAAGTGATCGTGGGGAATCTTTCGGTACAGAGTGCTCGGTTCAATACTTAGAGAATATTGGACATTTTGCAGGAGTCCATGACCCTCTGAATAAGCTTAGTCGTGTAATAAACAGAGGTACTGGAAAATGACAACCGTTGGCAAAGGTAGCATTCGAGGCTTTATCGTCAGATCGTTCGCCCGGGTCGTCATGAATCTGGCTTCACTCCATACCCGTACCCCTACAATCAGCTAAACTTGGCACCAGTCCATACTCAGAACGCTGGAAGTGCACTTGATCAATGAAAACAAAGATGGCGGAAGAATTGGAAGAGAGATTAAGTGAGGTAGACAATAATAGGCAAGTGTTTTCAATTCCATTCTTCAGATTTCGCGAAGTTTTTTTCTGCAAATTTACATTTGTTTAGATATAGTTTCTGATTAGTCAGATGCCTCAGATTACTGAAATTGTAGGAGATACGTTTAGGGTATATTATAGCTTATTTCCTCTCTGCTGTTTATTTTACCGGAACATGCGAATTTTCAACTCTGTTGGTTTGATTTAACTGTTGCAGAACATTACTCAGCCCGGAAAAAATCTGGAGTTACCTAAATAGTGAGGTATGTTGAAAACTTTCACTTAAGTTTATAGTTGTTTATTTTAGCGTATATTGACCACTTGCCTCGCGCAAACCTGTGCAATATTTCGAGCGCTCCTAATTAAATAATTTCTTTAGTTGGCGATAGAAGGCACTTATTCCTTCCAGATTCACACCTGAATGGCTTAATCAATTTGGCCATTTGTATCAAAACTGTTTAACAGTAGAAGAAATCGTTTGTTATTCTTGTTTTGAAGTTTGATATCTTTTGCTAATTTTGTCCTTCATCAAAATCAGCCATTTTAGAGGTGTGCAAAAGTGTACAACTAGTCTGTGATCAGGCTTATATTTAGATCACATGCACACAAACAGATAACTTGAAAAAGGTGAGGCTTCACTGATTTCTGCAAGTTTTTCATTTGGACCCTAGAAACTGCAGGAATCAGAAAAGAACGTCCTCAAAAAATCCAACTGTAGTGTGCAACTTTTTGAGCATGTTCCTGTTTTGGGGAGAGTTGGTGAAGGGTGGGGGCAAGAGATAACAATGCATGACTCACCAGAAGGTTGGCGAGAGTGGAACACGCTTAGGCTTAGGTATCCAGGTTCTTTGTTCTTAGCCCATCACAATCTCCTCACCACCAATATTAATTGTACAGTAATTTCTTTTAATTGGAAGACTGCAGGGATCATGTGTACTTAAGGCATCCATGGCTGAGTGTCAATTGATACCTTTGATGAATGCCCTCAATGGACATCTCGATCAGTACTCAATCAACATCCCGATCGATACGTGGTTGAGACTTGATCAACACTTGATCAACAGTTGGTCAAGATGTTGGCTGAGTGTCGACCGACTCATATGCAACAATCTAAAATTAGTCGACTTTGGACCAAGATGTCGATGGAGTGTTGATTGAGTGTCAACTAAGGGGTGAATGGAGTTTCGATAGAGTATCAATTGAGTGTCGATTGAGGGTCCATGGACGGTCCATCAACGGTATTGATCGAGGGTATCGATTGACACTAGACTGTGGATGCCTTAAGTATACATGATCGGACTACAGGAAAGATTTAAAACATTAATTATGACATAGCTCCCTGAACATATTAAACCATAATCATTGATTATCAAATCCAACTGCTTGCAGGAATGTTCTGCGATTGACATTTCTCCAGATACTACAGACAGTCTCTTTCGATTTCTGGAAGATCACAAAGAACCGCCAAGCTCAGACAATGACTCATGCACTGTGACTCCAGAGGATCAGAAACAGCTGGAACAAGCAGTGGCATGCCTCGTCAAAATTATCCATCTCATTCATCATGCAAATTTAAGCAACCAACATCAAGTATGCAAGCTATGTGACTGATTTTCTACAAATATTTGTGCATTCATGTGAAAATTCCCCATTATAATTAGTATATATAGTTTAATTGTTCAGTACTGGATCAAGAGTCAAGTTTGAATACTGGTCGGGTTCCTTTTATCCTTTGGTTATTAGGTACTCTGGATTGGTGGAGGTGTGGTGCCCTCATGGTTAGTGCACTCGACTCTGGATTGAGCGGTCCAGGTCTGAGCCCTGGCCAGGGATGTTGTGCTGTGATCTTGGGCAAGGTACTTACTCTCATAGCACCTCTCTCCACCCAGGTGTATAAATGGGCACAGGTGAATTTAATGCTGGGGGTAACCCAGCGATGGACTAGCATCTCATCCAGGGGGGAGTAGAAATATTCCTAGCAGCTTCATGTTACAGAAACCAGGATAAGCTCTGGCCTGATGGGCCAGTTAATGGCTCACATGCAGACTTAATCTTTACCTCTGGATGAGAATTTGAATTGCCTCTGTCAATACTTGTTTTTAACCTAATTGCAACTAATGTACAACTGTGCAACCTTAGGGTGAAGCTGAGTTTATTTTTTGTCAATTTTCTTTAGTTACTGGTGGATACTCCTTCGCTATTAAAGAGGTTTCTGGAAATTATGCATCTCAGGTATTTAGCATCTTGATCATTAGAACTGGACATGTGCGTGCTCTGTGTGGTGTTGTTTGGCCAGTTTAATTTAATACTCACATGTAAATATATCTTACTAGATGTTTTGGTGTGTAGTATCACTGTATATTTTTACGAGTTGTGCCGTATTTTGATGAGCCCGTAGGGCGAGTCAAAATACAAACATGGAGTAAAAATATAAAGCAATACTACATACCAAAACGTCTAATAGGAGAGTTATTATCCAACTGCTGTAGTCAACAAATTTATCAGTAAAAGAGGGAGAGTGTGACAGTTTTGCGCGCATGTGCTGACCTGTCTGGTAAACAGGTTTTCTAGCGTACAAATAACTGTACAATATCGCTGTATATTTGTACTGTTATTTGGATGGTATTCGCTGCAGTTTGATGATAAATAGAGGATATTAAATAGCAGCACAAAGATAGGAATTTTATTTTTGAGTTGTAAAATTAGTATTGTACAAACGAGCATAGCATGTGAGTAAAATATTGTTTTAACTCAAGAAAATAAAATTCTGTTTTATGTTCTCACCACAGTGTAATTTTCCTTTTATTATGTAGACTAATTTATTGCTCACTATTTTCACTGAGTATTTGCACAAACAACCGTGAAAAACGGAAAATGATGACATCGATATTCTCACAAGTGAGGAGAAAGAAAGTACACCAATTGGGTCTCAGATGCAGTCTTGTTTGAGTTTTAAGAATGTTGTATTTTCCAGAAGAACGCAAGTGTCTAATAAAGTAGAATATTGTTCATATTTTACTGTTAGTAGTAATTGTTAATAACTAATTGACTATTTTATAGTATTAGTACAATTTATTGTGATAGCTTTAAATAAATATAATTCAGGTATTTTACACATAGTAGGTTTAATTTAATTTATTAAAAGTTTTAAATAGACAAGTTTAAATGGTCCAAGATGAAACATCGCAGATACTAAATTAGAGAACTTACTATTCCAGATTTGAGAAACCCTTGCTAATCAGATGCTAGGGAATATGTACTTGTATTAAAAAATCTCTGCATGTTGATTAGTAGTTTAAAAAATTCACCTGTAGTAATACGGACTTTTTTCTTGTTCATGGAAATATTTAGAGATTTACGAGCTCATTTCTCCAGGAGTGTATGTATGCTTGGTGAGTGACGGTCATGTTAGCTTGTTAAGGATGAAATATTAAATTAAACTTGTACTTCAAAAGTTGTTCCACTGGAAAGTCAATGGGAGATAGTAAGTAAATTAATGGATAACTATTTTACACTACTTACACATCATGGCTGTCAAGACATGATCTACTAAGATCTACGTGCTTTTAATGTGTAAGCACTTGTTGTATTACAATGATTATTATTCAAAAATATTAATAATTAAAATTCATGAGGTAAATTGTATAATAAATGATAAAATGCACTTTATAAAGATCAAAAGATAAAAAGTATTTAATTTACTTTTTATCTTTTGATCTTTGTAAAGTGCATTATATCATTTTTTGTAGAATTTTAATGTAATGAATTTTAGTTACAAATTAATATTTTTGAATAGTTATAATTATCAATCTTTAAAATATTTACTTGATACACACCTTCTAATTCCTGCTTTGTTGGGAATCCTCAGTTATCCATTAAATAAGTTTATTATTTTGTTTGCCAGATGCAATTCCCAAGATCCTAGATTTTGAAGACTCTGCAGTACTTCAGGTAACAGAAAATAACTTGCTTAAAGAAGCAGAGCCCTGTACAATTATTGCCCAACAAATGCAGAGTTGAAAATAAAATGAAAGTCTTATGTTATGACAATGTTTGAATTCATCTCAGATTTTGTCTATCTTGGCCTAGCTTAAATTCGATATTTTGATGTAATATTTACTATCAGACATGTAGTTACTGTTATTGGGAGTGATTAATAAATAATTAAAGGATTTTTTCTTGTCAGTAAGAAAATATGATTTTTAATTAAGTTATATGGCATTTATTGTCCACCAGGCTGTGTTTGTAGGAGTTGGGTGTTTTGAAGCTATCATTTCTGTTCTGGACTATGAGGTTGGTTCTTAAGCTAATAATGCCATCTCAAATTAGGTTATGTTGCTAATATGTCTTGTAAATCATTTTGTCAGAAATACACTTCAATATTAGCAGGCATAGAAGTAATATAAGTTGCAAGTTGGAGGGGTAAGAGAGGGTAGAGACATGTGGGAAAAGGAAATGTCAGTAGCACCAATGACTTTCCAAAACAGGGCTTTCAAAGTGGTTGCTTTAACCTACAATGGCATTGACAGTCTGAGAGAATGGAAACTTTCAAAGCAGGAATCATTTGTAACAAAAGTTATAGATCTATTAACCAAAAGAGGTGATAAATATTACCTGCAAATGGTAATGCTTACAAAACGAACTTGTAAATTTAAGACCGAGTTTACCAGAGGACCAGGCAGGGGTGATACATGCCATCTCTCCTTTTTGGATGAAACTTTGCCATATTTAAGGTATTACCCAACAACTCTAAAAGACAAAGTGGGCCGGCTTTGTGATTTTTCCCTTAGGAGTTAGACCACCCCCCCTTGGTTTTTTGCCCAAAATTTTGAAAATGCCTTATTGGGGGATGACATCTACCCCCCACCCTCCCTTGTACGTCCGAGGGTTACGGGATATTGCAAAGAGTTTCGCATTCATTGAGCTTCCACTGCCCTAAATAATATTCAAAGACTTTGTTAATGACATTAACATAGAAATAACTTTAATGAACTGATTCTATAATATCTAATATTTTTAGATTT